CTGTCAATTCGTCCGCCGTCTTACGAACGGAGGACGAATTGACAGATCTCCAACCAATAGAAACACTTTCGTACCATCGTATCACCGTACAAACGAATGCATGGGGCACGGGCTTTACACTTAAGCTCACTAGTAACTAGTAACTTCACGTGTGTTTAATCAAAAGAGCGGCGTTTGAACTGTGCGCGTTCACAAATTAAGCGAGCTTTAAAATTCGTTTTTTCGCTATCAAATAATGTAAGCCAATTCTAGTCCACAACAATTAACATCCCCTTAACAGCCGGAATATGGCCTAAACCTCTTCAAGGATGCAAATGCAAAATGTTCATTTGCAACGTTTAAATAACGTTTATCGCAAAGTTTCAGAAACATGTAGATAACTGAAACGTTTCGGGATTTAAATGAACGTTTCTGAAGCAAAAAGTGGTTAGTCGGGAGATAACGTGAAAATCCCCCAAAGAAGTTTCCAGTGCGATAATCTAGTGCGAACTACATATTAATGCGAGCGTATTAATAGCGAAAGTTAAGACAATTCAATGGTTTACCCCTCCGCCTTTGCTTACTTTAGCACTTGCTAGTAACTTTGCAAGTTATTTACCGCGATTGGTTCACCATTATTCATTATCAGGAAAAGACAACACAGCCTAAAGTACACAGGTGATTGTAGAAATTGAATTGGAAGCCAAATACCCATACATCTTAACCTGTGCCCCCAAGTTAAGTACTTGATTGCATAAATACTCAACTTTGGGAGCATCAGGGACACCGTACAAAAGTACAAAGATTAACCACTGAATTGCTTTTTATATTAGCTGCATTTCATGTGGCGAGTACCCTGTAATGAGCGTTAAATATTCGTAATAAAGGGCAGACAGACACAATTAACTTTAGTCTACAGTTTACATTGTGATTACATGACGATTTCCATCAAAAACATCAACATTGGAGTACAGATAAACATACTTACAGCGCAATGTAGGTCAGCCGTGCACTAAAAACACCGGATTTTTAAATGAAACAAAGACTAATATTGCAGAAAGGTAACAATTGAAAGAGCACACAAAATCGCATAATTTTCCAAGTGTGAAACGTTTAGAGCAAAACTGGTGGTACGAAGAGAACAATCAATATCGAGTGGCCACCGTTATTTATAGCCCGGCCTTATATAAAAACGGTGTTATGACGCCCCCCGATACTATCTGATGAAAAACATTACAGACGCACACACACACCTCCTTTCCGTTCATTCACTGGCAAACAACTGGTCCGGTGTATTTATTTTCGTAGTATCGGTATTCGTCATTCCATGTCACAGATCACCGGGTAGAGGACTCAAATCGTTTAAAAAAACAGTGGGAAAATCAGCCTGATAACAGTTTTCAGTTTGCTTTATTTACATCGCGAACACCTAACCTAGTTTGTTGACGTATATATGACAATAGTGAGTGGTCTGTGACGCTGTCAAAATCAGTCAAACCAAAGTTGACAATGATTTTTAATAATCAAAATTAAAAATAATCCAACAGTCAGAAAAATGTAAATTTAGTGGAAATTTAACAAGATTCTGTGGTGATTTTCGCGCGTGCCCCTTAAGAGCGCACTATGATGGCGTCCTTCCGTCTTGTAGAAAAATCGTGAATTTCAATGTGCAAACGTGCTCAAAAGCGGCATTTCCGCTAAAAACACCACTAGGAAAAGTGATTAACAAAAATTTGATCTATTAGGTGACCGCAATTTTAGCGGGGCAGGCCAGGGCCTGATCTGCCTGAAAGTTCCCCAAGTTTGCAGCATTTATGCTGCTCACATCTGCAACTTTACGGATTTTACACACCGGCTTTCAACGCGCTTCAATTGGCGTTGATTGGCCCCACCTTTAAACCCATGATACAACGAATACATTGTATCATGCTCTAAACCATAGAGAAAGTAAAATAAGTAAAAATATTTTACTTACTCTATGCTTTAAACCAAACCATTTTGCTGTGATCAGAGACAAGTAGTACTTGTCTGCTGTGATCTTCTTATTATTAGAGAGTTATTGGTCGGCCTATACGTTCATGCAGTATTATAGTTTTTAGGCAAATCAGTCTAAAAAATAAGTACTGTTCTGTAGTATTTGTGCCCCGATACTGCACATTTTATTCTCTACGTTAAACTGGCAGTTGACATTTCTGACGTCCGCTTGCAGGTTATTTCATTATAAACATAACCCAGTTTCACCCATTTCCAATTGACTACTTGTTTACATATGTAAACATTACGTTTAACTACGTATTAAATTTGGTATTACTTATACAATTGGTTCAAAATGTCACATTTTTGCAGTGTCGTTTAATGCTCAATGCATGCTGAACGAGATACGGTTTCTTTTTTCCGATTTTAGCGAGACATAGAAGAGAGAGATGATTTGAATAAATATTCTCTAGTGAACGTCGAAATGCTTGTGTTAAGGCTTTAAAACGGGCACCTCTACGTGAAATCTATATGAGAAATGATCGTATTTGCTTACGACATCATAACTGGTAAGTATTTGTACAAAAAGGTGATTTTTGCTACTGTTTATGTTTGATTGAAGGAAAACCAGCTGCCTTGAAAGACAAAACTAATCCAGATGTGTTGCCCAACGAAAATTTAGGAAACATTTATAGTCCAGATCAATCTGCCTGCCTACTCCCTATTTAAAAGGTTTTTAAAAAGAGCTAGAATGAAGCCAGAGGTTGGTTGTTATAACATTAAAAAGCATAATGGTTTTAAGCTGCTGTTTTTATGTTCGAGCTGAAGTTGTTTCTGCATGGTGCACAAGAATTTGATGGTGTTTCACAATTCATTGAAGAAATTTGAGCAAAGCAGATTTATGGAAGCTGTGTTAGTGAGT